ATGGAAAGTAACTGTTGGAGATTTTGGGGGGTGGAAGGGCAGGCTTTGTTACTCTGCAGAAAGCTGGACGACCCTTTGGGTCCAGGTGTTTTCTGGGCACCCTCCAATGCCAACAGTCACTCTGGGGCTGTGTTTAGTGCGGAGACACTGGAATTTGGAAACTCTAGACTATTAAGTCTTTTATTCCATAAGCTGACACTTTCCCTCCCAGTAAATACTGAAATATGTAATGCAATGTGAGTTTATGGAGCAAAAGACTTAATAGTCTAGCTTCCAAATTCCAGGGCCACCTCTGACACCAACACCCTACCCTGTACAGCCTCCAGGAAGAAACGTACATCTCTCTTCCCTCCCCTGCCAAGTTGGAGTGACCTCTTGCCTGACTTGTACGGTGGCTGGTTGCCAGCCTTACTGCCTGCAAAGAGCTGTATATATATCCTATCTATTCATACATGTTAAGCTAGACCTTGTCAAGGGGTTTTAAAAACGGCTTTTAGAAATGTGACTTGGCTTCCTCTCTGTGACTGTATCTGGTCCTTGGGGTGTCTGTCGATAAGAGCTGCCGTTATGCTGAGACTTCCCTGCAGGAGCTCCTGTAGGAGGCTGTCCTCCTTCGGTTTCTTTGCTGAGCAGAGTAGGACACAACAGGGAATGCAGATGCCTCTGACTGCAAAGGAAGGCAGGAAACTTTCAGAGCTGCAAGGTAAACTTTATTCTTGGAGATATTTTGCTTTTATGTTACATTTTTTGAATAATAAAATTTACTTTACAACAGCTGAAAAAGCTCCCTCTATTCTGTGTGTTTGCCCAAAGTCCATCTTCAGCCACCCTGAGCCTTTTCTGGGGCAGGTGGCATGTAAATCTTTATAAATCTAATAAAAATAAATTAATATTACTGTCAGGATAGGGTGTTCCTATTATACTATTCTTCTTGCAGTCATACTTAAGATACTTTATAGCATCTTCAGTGACCTCTATTGCACTGCTGTATTCCTGCATGCAGCAGTTGAAGATTTGCTGTAAGTCCTTATATATTTGAGAGAGGGGCTCGGATTCTGACCTGTTACATCTGCGGATATCTGAAACAAGGCTCCTGACGTCAGAAAGCTAACAGGGAGTCAGATTCAGGGCAACATCAGTGCAACGTCAACAGAAGGGTATGCAGCTACCGCCACAATATATCTGAAATGAGACACCTGAAAAGCTTAAAGGGAATTTTTAGCTATCTTAAACAGTTAATTTAAATAACAACCGAGCCAAGATTATTCACTGAAAATGGAGTTAAAAAAGAAACAATTATCTACCTACAACAAACCTAAAAAATCTGATTTTATCTTCGCCCAAGAAAAGCTGTATTTCATGTTTCCATCCCAGCAGGAAGCCCAGTCTCAGATCTCGATTCAAAACTTGTCTACATGAAGGAAAATATGCAAGACATTTGTCAGGTTGCTAAACGAGCTCTTCTGTTGGCAGTGTTGGAAGACCTACTGCAGCTGGGCCACTGTTTTATGTACTGTGTCATCTAAGCACACTCAGAAAAGGTCTGAAACGCTAGAGGGAGGCAGCCAGCCGGCCCCTTCTTGGAAAATAGTTCTGAACTGATTTCTGTGAGTCTAGGGCAGTCTCTCAACTTTGGTGATGCTTGTGGGAGCGGGCTGGTGTTGACATTCGTGATAAGCGCCTGTACAGTGCCAGCTACAATAGGGAAATTCATTCATTTTCCTTTCACTTTAGAGTTTTCCTTTAAATACACCTATTTAAATGTATTCTCAGAGCTTAGTTGTTTTTCAGCAGTGCACATGGACTGTATGCAGTTGTGTGTGTGTGCTGTTGTATTGGTGTGTTATTCTGGGGAGGCAGGCGTTAATCTGCAAGTAGTTGTACAAATGGCTTTGTGTACTTGTGGATGTAAATGTATGTGTGTGGGTGTGTGTGGAGAAGTGGTGTTTGGGGTGCACTAGTAGGCACCAGGTGTGAGAGGCAGAAGTGTCTATGGCATAGGTATACAGAAGAGGAGAAAGCTTAGAGAGAAGGCCCAGAGGCTTCAGTTTCTGGGCAGACCAGAATTTCCTTCACTGTAAAGCAGCTGGCCCAGAATGACCTGAACCTTGGCCCAGCAGGTGCAGGACAGGATATGCTAGCTATAACCAGTGGCGCAGACGCTGAGGATGGGAGGGTAGAGCCCCAGCTGCAAGATGAACATGAGCAAATGGACAGCTGTTTGTCCTGTACCTGCCTGCGTGCAGAAAGACACGAGGAGTGGGGAAGACAGGTACTGAAGGAGCCATGGGGCACGTCTACACATCACTGTATGGTGACATTGCTATGGCACTGTGCTTCATTACTTCCTTTTAGAAGTACTAAAGCACAGTGCGGTGCAGGCAGCTATTGTGCCGTGCGCACAGGGCATGGTTAGATTTCACCGCTACATCGCTGTAGCAGCGCACCATCCCAGGGGAGTGCGCTGCTATGGCAGCGTAGCTGGCAATCACGTGTCGACCCATGTGATGGCTACATCACTGTAGTGCGCTATATGGCGATGTCGCACATTGCTATGTTGCCGTAGGTTTAGGGCAACGTGTAGACATGGTCATAGAGAAGTAGGGCTGGAAGGGACCTCCAGAAGTCATCTAGTCCAACCCCCTGCCTGAGGCAGGATCATCCCTATCCAAACCATCCCATACAACTGTAATCTAAACTCTACATAAGACTACCCTCATCCCTGACACAACACAGACCTGAGACCTGAACCTGCCTCAGGTGAAGCAGAGGAACCACGGCAGCGATGCCCTGCTTCTACAAAATGTTGTCAATATATACGCAAGAGGTTCCCGGTAGAGGGCCATGCCCCACACTACAGAGGAAGGCAAAACCCCCCACAGTCCATACCACTCTGACCAGGGGGTAAAATTTCTTTCTGACCCCAAATATGGCTATCAGTCTAACCCTGAGTGGAGGAGCAAGACCCTTTAGCCAGGAACCTCCAGCAGCTTTTCTTCTAGTAGGAGAACCAGCACACCCCAGTTAAAGTGCCCAGCATTACCTGTAGCCAACACCCGATGCCGTTGGGGAGGCTTAAAAACACTCTGACACACAGAACAAGGGGAGGATGGGGTGCGAGCAACCGGCAAAGCCCAGAAGCATGGGAAATATCTGTGGTAGAAAACGGGCACAGCTGTGCCTAGATTATCCCCAGCCAGTGGCTCTCCAGCTTCTTCTTGAACACCTCCAGCGATGGAGAGTCCACAGCTTCCCTAGGCCATGTATTGCACTGCAGAGGGCAGTTGGCTGCCACAGGGGCTGGGCAAGAAGGCACACAATGCTTGGGGAGAAATGTGTAAATGCCGACCAGCCTCTCACTCTACTCTTTTGCTGGGTATCGTGGTGCAGGAATTAGGAAGAACTGCTCCCCCATTGTCCCACAACTAAAGTTATAAATAATAACTTTTCTCCAAAATAAGCTTTGGAGACGGCTTCTCCTGCTACGCTATGAGGGAGCTTTGCACAGCTCCAGAGAATAGCCAGCTCCTCCACATCAGGGTGGACAAATGGAGCCCTTAGGTCCTATACCACGGACTCTGTCTTCATCGGACAGGGGCAGCAAGTGGAATGGTCCATCCTGATCCAAGCAATCCCAGAACACGAAGGTACGCATTACGCTCCACATCCCTTTTTCAACAATGGGGGTGGCTGCCACCTTCCTGTAACTGGAAATGACCAGTAAGTACACCTGCACGGGTGCGCTTGCTCTGTGCAGCAGAGGCCAAAACTCCTTCTCCAACGGGTAGAGCGCAGAGAATATTAGGATTCAAGTGGGAGCATTGCAGCTACTTGAAGACTGTTCAGAGGTGTAGCTGGGACATAGAACTGGTTTGTGCAGCGATGGAGGCTGCTCTAGTAATGAGGCGTCTGACAAGTGTCTCCAGGACCTACAGCCAGGGTGGCCATCGTAGAGGACATTCCGGTTTTCTGCTGCTCTGTCCTCTGCCCTGTATTGATACGGAACCCAACGCCTTTATGTCCTCTATTTTTTGGACACGAAGGCATCGGGTTTCGTATCACTAGAGGACAGAGGACAACTGGACTGTCCTCTACGATGGCCACCCTACCTGCAACACAGGAATGAAGTCAGCCCCCACCCGGAGGCCAGGAGGAATGGAGCACGGGGAATGTAGGCAGGCCTACATCCACTCCGTGAGCATATTTGCTCAGCTTCATTGCATCATTCCCACTGCACACGTGTGTGCAGAGGAGCCGCTCTGAATTGGGTTGCCAGCTCTCCTGAAAACATAAACTGGCTGATAAGGCAGCTCTTACACACAATTGATTGCGGACTATTAACCTGCACTCAAATCAATATTCACTTTAACATCACATTTTAACAGGCCACTGCAGCACAACAGAAGAGTAGTTACATAGTGCACATGTTTACATCCAGAATAAATAGTTCATGAAATGGAGCCTGGCAAAGAGAAGGGAGTCAGTGCAAGGGAGATTGGGCATGTGAAGGGACACCAGCTCATTCCAGCCGTCTGAGGTCTTTGCACGGCAGATCAGCAAAAACTCAGCAAGCCTGGATGCTTCCTTCCTAGCATTCACAGGGAAGCATGGCCTGGCCAGGCGGGGTGGTGGGATGCAGGACAAAGCTTAATACACTGGGACAAAGAACAGACGTATAACCTGACCACAGGAGGCTAAATCTCTGTCTAGCAGTAGCAGTGGAAAGGAGGTGTGGCTGAACGGGGGTCAGAGCAGAAGCTGGAATCCAGCTTCCTTGCTCTCGCTCTGGAACATGCTGCTATGTGTTTAACAGAATAGGTTTGAAGAGTGCTCAGATGAGCCTGGAAGCAGCCCAGAGCCAGTATTTACAGAAGACGTGTGTGTGGGTTTGCTGTGCTGTATTCTCAGGAGCCCAGGAGTGAGGGATCTTTGTCCTTGGGGGACCCACTTGCTGCTTTCTGCTTTAAAGGAGAGGTGCTGTTGCCAAAGCAAGTGTGACAGGTTCCTGCAGGCGCCTCTCCTTCCTCTTCAGTCAGAAAGCAAACACGCTGCACGTTCTAGCAACATCCAGAAGTTTTGCGAAGTGCCCCCGTGTCTCCTGACTGGCTGCTTTTCCTGGCAGTGCTAATGGCGAGGAGAGGTGATGGTGATGGTGCTGGAGAGCAGGCCCCTGCAGCTCTAGCTGCAGGAGGATCAGTCCTGGAGCAGGATGTAAGGGCGAGCGGGGGGCTTGCAGTGCATCCTGTTGTGGGCTGAGACTGCATCCCTCTTCTCTGGAGCTCCTCAGTCCCCCAGGGTGAGCGAGTATGAAAATGTCAGGGTGCAGAGTGAGAATAATCGCAGGGTGGGGCGGTCACAGTTTGTCAGGCTAGCGTGGGCTGAGCAGCAGCGGCAGCAGCAGCAAAACTGGGCAGGGCCAGGAAAGCCGGGCTCCAGAATACACAGAGGAGGCCCTGGGCAAGCTGCTGTGTTCAGAGATGTCTTCATTGGTCTTCACCTTCATCTCCTAGGAAAGAAACACAAGAAATTAATTCAACCGAGACCTATCTCGCTCTGACCCCTGGCTCCTTCAGGGTCTCCAGCTCTGAGTAGGGACACCAGGTCCCTGACTGAGTAGAGAACTGATGTTCCCGAGACCTGCCACAGCCACAGAAATGATGCTCTTCACCTCTGCTCCCCTCTGGGAAGGAGCAGCCGTGGGAGGGGGTGGGGTGAGAGTTGTCTTCTCAGGCCTTTCTATGTACATGCCTGCCTCCCTCCTTCAAGTGCCCTAAGCTTCATGTTTCAAAATGCCAGATTTCTCAAATGCTACTTACTTCCTCTAAGCCATTTCTTGTACTGCTGTTGAAGGTGGCAAAATGAAATCATACCTGGATCATTCCTGAAGCAAGTGAAGTGCTAGTGCTTCTCCCCTGGATGCTTTGAGAAGGTGTGTAAGACAGTTCTGCCTGCCCCTCCTGAGTTGTGTGATTCAGATGCATCTGGGACTGGATTGTGTTTTCTGCAAGCAGAAGACAAATGGGAATCCAATAGATTTTTCTTGCACGTTTATCTTGGAATATACTGTGTATGGGAAGTGCACGAAAGTGCCTGGATGGGTGCACATCAGTGCTTTGGAGGGTACCATACACAACAGCATATTACTCGGGAGTTTACCTAGGTAAAGGCACACGCAACAGACTACAAGGGACACTCCCACACTGGTGCCTGGGGCTGCTGCGGGTAGGTCCTCCACTGCCTTCTTCCTGAGGTGAGGTAGGATTAGAAGATATATCTAGGTAGATAGATATGTATCTGCACTGCAGGGTGTGAAAGATTTTTCTGTATTGTACTGAATACCGTTTAAAACGGCATTAATATGAAACATTCATATAGTGATGTTGTTTCTTTATTTGATGTCCTTTGAAAGCTTTTACAATCATAAAATATTTACATTTTAATACAGTCCATTGCCAAGTTGCCAGAGACGGATAAAGGATGGAGGTCCAGGACACAGGCATTGCTCACAGTTGGATTTTACATAGCTTCAGGCAGCAGGATTTAGAAGCTGTCACTGTGCTCCTGAGACCAGTCACACAGAGATGGCCAGGCAGTGGAGAGTCAAACTATTACTATTTATTTTTGAGCACTCAGAAATATTTACATTTTCTCTCAGATAATTAGAAGCACTTGCCCTATCAGTGAACAAATGTCAGATGAAAGGGCAGGGAGAAAGGAGAGAAGAACAAGATAGTGGTGGTGAGTTTGGATATGCCATGATCCCAGCCTTCCTCTCTTCACCTTTTCTGCCCTTGCACTTTATACAGTTAAGAAAGCAGAAGCAAGTCTCGGGGAAGGGACTGGTGTGATGAGAGAAGGCTTGACGGGGAACACTTCCAAGATGAGCCCATTGTGGCAGAAGATACAGAAACACCTGAGAGCAGACAAAGTGGGGATCGTGGCAGGGACTAGAAGGGATACTGCAGTGTAGAAGAGGCAGGTCAAAGCTGCACGCAGGGGCTGTGCCTTAGACCTTAAAAGGAGCCATACAGGGTTTAACTTGCTAAGGCTGAACCTCCACCGTGGCCGACATCCTACATGACACTTACTGAGGCATTTGTTGCTGATGAACATGCCGAGTATCTGGTCACACTCCTCCTTCTGGTTGCCACTGCTCTCACACGTACACCACAGCGAAATGGCCACACTAGAGTTACTGATGTAGTTTGGTGTCATGTGGGTACCTGTCCCAAATCCCCAAGAGATGCCATTAGTGCTTACATACACTGAGATACATGATGCCTGGGAAGGGCAAAGGGACAGGGACCTCTGCATTTCTGTTCCTACCGCCAAGGGGGCAGGGCGGGAAATGCTGCTAAAGCGTCTGCCCGCTCATCAGCTCTGCGCCGCACACATGCAGGTGCACCGTGTCCCCAGTACACCGGAGGACATGCCCCTCCCAATGTACCCCTGTGGGCACCACTTACCAATCATCCCCAGGTAAGCCTGCAGGCATGCAGCATGGGTGTGCTGAGGGCAGCCATCTGGGGACGCGTCTGCAGGCTGGCAGTTGTGTTGGAAATCAGCCAGTCGGGATCTGTGGAAGGAAGTAGAAGAGTGTCAGCATCAGGGCTGCTTTGCTCACTGCGCTCATGCTGCTTGGTGCCAGACCTACTTGCAAATATTGTCTTGGACACAGGCATGCCAGAGAGAGAGGCAGTTGGGTTTGATGCTCTCCTGAAAGGAGCACTCTGGGACAATGGCTTTCCGGCGTCGCTCCCCACAGACCTCATTTTCACAGGGGCAGAACAGCAGCCTCTTGGTGAAATCCTCGTGGACCTTCTCAAAGAAATGTCGCAGCCCTTTGTGGCACATGAGCCGGTTACAGGTCTCCCCAGCCTCCGCCCCCCTGGTGCAGATGGAAGCATATGCGGTACGCCATCGGACGCACTTCTTATTCATGCTGCAGATGTGAGTTGCTTTCAGGCAGTGATTTGTGTTGTCCCCTGCTAGATTTGAGTCTGTAAAGCCAACAGAAACACAGGCAGAATAAAGCAAATTGCAGAAGAGGTTCCAGGTGAAGTGGAAAGGGATATAAGGTCTCCTGCAGCTCCTGAGAACTGGGAGAGGGCTGGCTTGCCAAGGGACACATTCAAGGGACCCCTTACATGCACCTTTCAAGGACAGCAGCAGGCAGGCACTTGCCCGGCGCCACCTGTGTTCTGAGGTTTTCTGCAGAAGATGCAAGTTCCACAGACGTTCCTTGGGTTTTAAATCATCTCCCTGGCTGTAAATATTCTTAATCATTCTTAGTTAAGATTATAAACTAGAAAGCAGCACTGAGAGAGTCATAATGGAAGACCAGGACAGGGAGTAACTTATATAGGGACTTGACTAGTAGTAAACCTTTTTAAGTTAGTTGAGTTGCTTTAGTTAAAGAAATGGATGCATGTGAAACATCAAATATCCAGAACAGTTCTAAGCGGAATAATTTTTCTTGGAATAAGTGGAAGTTGTCCATTGGAAAATAAACCCCTTGTTAGCTGTAGCTAACTCCTTGAGGTTACTGATTGGAGTAAAGGAAAATATAGGAAATAATAGAGAGAAATGACAATATTTATTGTATCTTGCTACTTCAAATAATCTGGATTATTTACCAATCAAGATTGTTAGGCCTTCCCTGATGCGGTCAGTCCTTTTGACTCTTTCCCTCCAAATCTTTCCTGATCTCTTTCCTTTGCTGGATGCCTTTCTTCACACAGAGGCATCTAGGGATTCGTATCGCCCTTTCACCTGCTGTCCCCAAGCTCCGTTTGTCTATACCGGGCCCTCCAGCACCAATGTTCCTCTGACCAGCTGGCAAAGGGGTGTTCCCCTAGAATTTTTTTTCATTTAATAGTCTTCCTCTGGAAAGTGAATGAAAAAAAGCGGGGAAGGGTAGTGTTATATAATGTGCCTGTTTTGGTCCCTACCTGAAACCAGAGCTGCCAGCCTGTTGTAGTCCATCTTCTTGGGTTCTTTATTGGCTGGATCCTTGTAGGGAGAAGTCTCCATATTCATATACCCTAGATGAGGCAAGAAACACATGCAGGAGTGTTGGGAGAAGTGCTCTATGACCAGTTTAGCCTTTCGGAGAGACATCTATGCACCCATCTAACTGCAGCCACAGGGCCGTAGTTAATTCAAAAACACCCTGCTCTAGATCTAGGAGCAAACCAAGGGCCAGGAGCTAAGGACCTTGCTTGGGTGTTACTCTGCAGCAGAGATGCAGGAGTCATTCACCGACTTCCACGTGGGCAAGATGTATTCCAAGTTCTCATTTGCTCCTTCCTGGTCTCAGCATTTGTGAGGATGGATGCACTGCAGGCAGCAAGGCAGCAGTGGGGATAGGGGAGCCTTCAGGAAACACTCTACAGAAGGCAGACAGCAGGTTTAGGGAGAGACTGTTTTCTCTGTTCAATTAATCCCTTGATTCACTGGTATTAGACCCTCCTTCCTTACACAAGGCAACAGAAAATGCAGTATCTGAGGGTTCAGCCCCTGAACTGGCTCATGAATATATTGTGAGCATATTTCTTTGCAGTTTTAAAAGATGCAATCTGTGCTTAGGCTTTCTTGTTCTGTGTATTGATTTCTTTAACATATTCCTTGTAAATCACTAATAACTTACTTTTCTCTGGATGTCTGGTGAGATTCTCCAGTGACTGCCTCCAGAGTTGAGTGCTCTGTGGCAGTGTTCCCAGGAAACCATCCCCTCTCCCTTGGTGGGCATTTATTCCCATGACATAGGTTCCCATTATTTTTAGGTGAAGTGATTCCATCTCACCATGCATCAGGCTGGAGTGAACAGTCCAGTAGATGCGCAGACAGTGCTCCTGTCTCCTCATGCGCCGGCGACACTTGCAGCGCAGTAGAGGGCTGCTTCTGATGGCCAGCTCAGCATCCAGGCACTTTGCCCTGGCATCATGGTCCAGGGAGATGGGATGAGTCTTGGCACTCGAGCAGTTTTCCAGGGTCTGGTAGGTGGTATTACAGACAGAGTCTTCCAGGCAAAGCCGCTTTGCTTCTGTGCAGTCACTTGACAGAGCCAGGAAACTTCCTGATCAAAACAGAGAAGCAATATTAAGACTTCATTCATGGTGAGAACCACATGAACAGCAGCACAGTCTCTGCAGGCTTCCTGTAGCAAGCAGGAAACCCTCTGGGAAGGTACAAGTGGGGAAGTTTACTTGATGTGGGAGAGGTGGAAGCCCACACCCATGGGACAGACCCATGGGCAAGAGTTGCCTCCCTTTCAAATCAAGATGGACATCAATGGAGCTTGCAGCAAAAGAAAAACTAGCAAGAGACTGCGAACAAACCTATTTGAGAGCTCTCCCTCTTAAACCCCTTTGGATTACGTAGTTTATGATCCCTTCTAAATCCTGTAACCCGATCAGAGCCAGACCCACTTGGTTCTTGCATGGGACAGAAGATTCCTCAGGAAGGCTCAGTTGCCTCAGGGAGTGGAGCATGAGGAGCACCTCGCCCATGAGTTGCTGGGGCTCCTGCAGCCCCGTGTAATGCCAAGGAAGCATTCAAATGCCCCCTCCTCCAGGTGCCACAGCCTAGGACAAGGTATTAAAAGCTTCACTGAGAAAGCTGTTTGCAGTTATATAATGACATCATGTTGAGCAAGCCCGTGAGCTCAGGAAGAGTGCAGCACGTGTTCTCATTGTAACAGAGGTCTCCTTTCAGAGTGAACTGACAGAAGGTAGGGCAGAGTGGCACCTTAGAGACTAACTGGTTCAGAGAAGCATGAGCTTTTGTAGGTCGTAACGTACTTTGTCAGTTGCTATGAATGGCATTAACGTTTCCTATTAAACCATAGACATATCTGTATACATCCATCTGCAGAATACAATGGTGGCGACAAGAACACGTGTAACAAATTTCTCTTACAGTGCTAGAACTGAATAGTTTCAAGTATCTGTGGACTCTTTGAAATGTGGCATCTCCACAGCTCTGCCACTCGCTGGGTTTTATTTGCACCTGTTCTATCGGGATCGGGTGGTATTTTCTTTTAGCGTTATGTAGGGAGATTTTGTGGCATCCTCTTTGCCCCTTGATGGGGGTCATTACTGGGTGAACACATTGCAGTCGTTGTTCACTTCTTCTGTAGCAGTTGCACAGAATCCGCGTGGGCACCATAGCTAGCGCTGCAGGACCCTGGCCCGTGACTGGGCAATGCTGTTCCCCTGTGGGAAGACTCTGGGGAAAGTCGTTCCTTGGCTGGTCTTAGGAAAGGGCTGTTCCTGACCAAGTTGTCTTTTCCCTCCTGCTGTTTCTGACCTTGATGCTACCCTTTGGATACGAGGCCTGGCCCTGCCTCTTGGCTTGGTCTCCAGGGTGCTGGTTGTATTCTTGGTGCCCATTATTTCTGAAGCACAGGAAGCATCTCGATACCTCTCATTAGACTTAGCTTGCTGTCACTGCTGTTTTGTTTCTTCTGTCACTTTTTCCACTACTGCTGGATTCAAAAGTTGAGGCAATGACCTGTGTGCGGAGTGACAGGATGCCACGCTGGACTTCTGCCCAGCCTTTCTGGGGGGTTTTCTCCAGCCCAGTGAAGCTAACCAGGGGGCTCTGTAACACTGATGCATTTTTAGTAGTTTCTTGGCAGTCTTGATAGCTGCTTCCGCTCTGTTATTATCTTGGCTCTGGTGTTGGGAAAATGTGTTCTGCAAGTCCTTTTCTGCAGCTGTGCCTGATGGGACGTGGCACCATGCGTAGCACAGTTGCGTGGGATGGTTGCTGCCGTAGTACAGGCAGGAAAGGCTAGAACTGTGGCGATGCTGCCAGTGGTGCAGATGAGTCTGTTCCCCCTAACCCCATGAGGCTGAAGTTGGTTGCTTATTCCCAGTTCCTTATTCCCAGTTCCCAGTTCATTTTTCAAAGTTAATCTAGACGCAGTAAAAGCTTGTTATTAATGAATTGCACATCCTAATGAGAGAGAATTTCATTAGCTGTGTATATGTACTAATTAATATGTAAAATAATATCCTGTATCAAGAACAGAGCCCTAAATGAAGGTCAGATTTAGATGGGATTATGGGGCAAAATATTTCTTGGGCCACCCCAAACTTCCTGTTGATGCTACTTGGGGGCTGTCCCAAAGACCCCTGACCACAGTCCTGCCCAGCCCAAAGCATGGTTTGGCCGTGCCAGACTGCCAACTGACAGCCCCCATGCCCACTGTACTAAGTATAATGGCTCGAATAAGGAACTGTTTTTTGGGCTGGGATTATGGCTAAAAATCCTGTTTGGGCCACCCCACAGCATACCTCTGTGGCACCGTGGGACTCTCCTGGACATCTCTGCCCCAGGTCTTGCCCGGTCCAAAGTGCAGTTTGTGCATGTCAGGCTGCCAGCTGACAGTCCCCACATGCCCACTGAAGTAAGTATATGGGCTCAAATAAGCAACCGGTTTTGGCTGGGTTTCTGGTTGGAAATCTTTTTTGGGCCACCCCACCCCATCCCATGCCTGTGTACCACCTGGGGACTCTCCCGGACATTTCTGGCCAGAGACTTGCCAAACTGCACTTTGGGCTGGGCAAGACTCTGGTCAGAGATGTCCAGGTGAGTCCCGCAGTGCCATAGACTCATGGTGTGGGGTGGCCCAAGAAGCATTTCCATCTCTAATCCTGTAATCTCAGCCTCAAAACCAGTTCCTTATTTGAGCCCATCTATTTAGTACAGTGGGCATGGGGGAGGGGCTGTCAATTGGCAGCCTGGCACGAACAAACCGTGCTCTGGGCTGGGCAAGACCCTGTCCAGATACGTCCAGGAGAGGCCCCCGGTGCCACAGAGTCATGGTGTGGGGTGGCCCAAAAAGGATTTCCAATCAATCTCATCCCAAAAAACAGTTCCTAATTCAAGCCCCTATACTTGGGGGGGGCTGTCACTTGGCACCCTGGCACGGCCAAGCTGCGCTTTGGGCCGGGCAAGTCTCTGGTCAGAAGTGGCCAGGAGAGTGCCCCGGTGCAACAGAGGCATGGCAGGGGTTGGCCTGGAAAAGATTTCCAACCATAAACTCAGCCAAAGCACTTAGGCCAGCGGGCATGCGGGGGCTGGCAGCTGGCGCCTTGGGCTGGGCTGGGCAGCACTGTGGTCAGGGTCCCTGGACAGTCCCCCGGTGCCATCGACAGCAAGGTTGGGGTGGCCCAAGGAATATTTAGCCCCATAATCCCATCTAACTGACCATCAGCTAGGGTCTGTACGCGACACGGGCTATTATTTTACACATGCATTAGTACGCAGGCACGGCTAATGACATGCTCTCTCGTCAGCATGTGCAGTTCATTAAGAACAGGCGTTTAGCTTTGAAAAAGGAGCCGGCAGT